TATATATATATATATATATATGCATTTTGTCTTAGGTGATGTGACCGTATATAGATGATAGGTTGGGGTTTAAACTGATTAGCTCGCTCAATATTTAACCTGCGCCCGTCACCTACATCCGTGTTAGCCTGTTTAATCATAGAAGGCAGGTACTGCTACCGGACGATCGTTTCTTCCTGCCAACCTGTACGCATAATTTTAAAGCACTTGACAGAGTGAAGTGCGAGTTGATCGCTTTGAGCAACCTATGAATACTTATCAGGAATAGTGCTATCCTATCACCTCTGAACTTCCGACCCGAGTTCCAGCGATACCAAAACCATGTATGCTGTCTTCATTCAGGAGAAGGGATGGATCACTTTTAACAGATTGTGAGCGTCACACAGAAGACCGACAACAGGGGAGTTGCGAAAATACGAAATGTGAAACCCAGTGAACCAATGTGTTTTATGTGACATGTATGATCTGGCGAAATGCTTCAGAAATGCTTTGATTGATGCACACGACTCCAACTAAATAATCGCTTCCAACTACTCCCCATTTGCTGTTACAAGTACCCGTCTAATTTGACCCAAGTTACCTTGGGTTTTCATAATGGAAATAAAGAACAGTAATTTACCCGGTGTCCAATAAACTTTATTACGGTCTTTTTCGTTGCATTGCAAGGGATGAATGTTCACTTGGCCGGCTTATAGTTCATATCTGAACACTGAAAACTTTTGGGCGTATTAAAGATGTCTCTTTTATTAACCTCACTCTTCCTCACAGCTGATGAGCCTATGTCCAACCATTAAAAAAATGCACCGTCTGAAATCTAATCAAGACAGTACTCTGACTATCTAGGCTCTCCAGTTATGCAATCTGCTGTAAACTACGGTTTGTTAGTTTAAGTAGGGGGGCGACACATTCGTTTCTATTCAGAAGACTCGGTTATCTGTGGCCTAAATTTGGATCCGTTACTTTAGAATGGGGTTGACAATTTTGGGTCCAAATCAGAGAACCAAGGACACTTCAGGTACCATAGCTCAGTCCCCGTACATCTTCCGTGCTATCGGACTGGATTTCGCTAACACCGCACTGGTACTTGGAGCTTTGTTCTACACACTGGAGGTGAGATTGGTACTGGGATTTTGTTGAGGTTCTTTCTTGAACAGACCCATTTTCCCCAAAATTTGACTTTTGATTCGCTGAAGTTACCCGCTTACCTCTTAAAGAGACCACCAGGATCACAAAGTTGTCTTGAAACTCACACTTACCAGAATAGAAGATTAAACAGTTATTATGCCACATACGATGGTTCCTCGGTTTACCTTGAGTTGATTGCAAGAAATAGTTAAAAAAAATGGGCTCCCGGTCTTTGCGTGACTTTACTGCATCAGATGGTATAGTGTTGCACAGTTGAAATGCATCAACCTGTAGGTTAAGCTGTTCGACTCTTTTAGTGAAGTCTTGCTGCGGACCGACCTCTCGTGCGTAAAGATGAATACGAATTGACCGATCAACATTTCAATGGCAATGTTGTGTTATTGCGTCAATGCGAACACCAGATGTCTGCCCAAGGAACAGTCTGAATGAAGTCTGTATGAAGTAAGTAGTGTCGTGATGTTTTTCCTAGATATTAGTCTGCACTGGGTGAACTTTACTCACCGGAACGAAACTGCATGAGATATCCTGGTAACTATCAGATTCCTAACAAAGTTGATGTGTTCATTGTTATTTTTTAAAAAAACTTTTGGCCCTGAAACTGTCTGTTTTCAATTGTCCTGATTGAGTAGAATGAGTTAGTATTAAGAATAATCGTTCGTCTATGCCGAACTGTCACAAGCATGCAGGTGAGACTGGTTAAACTTTAAAGTTGGAAAATGGCGCACGGTGTGGAAGGTTGTGCACGTTTATAGTCTACGAGGAGGAAGGCTAGTCAGTGACATTCTTTTGTACCCCTCGAAAAGTGTTTTTCTCTTGAGGACCCAGTCGCAGTACGAAATAGAAGTCTGAAGTCACGTGCCGTGCGTTCAATATCGATTGGACCTTTTTAAATTTGGGCATAGCACATGATTCTGCTCGCTATCCCGCTGAAACAGCTACCCCAAAATCTCAACAGCAGTTTATCATGCCCCCGGTCACATTCAAACCGCATTCTCCTGTGGAGGTTAGAAGCGCAATGCGCACATCCTCAAGTAACCAGACTGGACCTCTTGGACGATTTAATTTTTTTAAGGTCTGGAAAACCTGTCAAGTCTCGGTTACACGATTCCGTCCTCATGCAGGCCGCCACCGGCATCTGTATCAAAAAATCTTGGCCGTCTAATGTTCTGCCAAGTGTGTGGACACCTTATTGAAATCCCTTTGAGCTATTCAAAACTGGTTGTGTTATGCGACAACTGTCGTGAATCAACCGTAAGTACGGGGAATTGTTGTGTCTGGTTGCTGTCTGAACTAACAGCTCGCGGTAGGTAAACCCTCAAAAGTTTACTGTTGAATAAGCACCCATAAATGTTCAAGAGTATGCAAGTGCGAACTCCCGTTCAGGAATTCCTTGACAAGGGATGACAGAGTCCAGACTCCATTTATCCTTAAGGTTTCCGGTAGCTACAAACAGATAACTACTTAGGGGACTTAGAAGACTATTATTTCTGGTGGTGTCGTCATAAGTTTAGAAAGCCGATAGGAACAAGGATCTTGATTTTCAATTCTTCGAAGTCAACGTGGTTTTTTTTTATTCATCACAAATAATATTTTGTCAGAATTTGTTATGCGTTGATGAAAAACTGGGCATGCGCTCAAAAGCTGCTTCACCCAGGCATGCCCTCAGTGTCACTCTCCTTGTGTTTTTTTGTCGTCAAGGTATTTTTAAAAAACCAACTTTGATCTTTGCTACTTTTGGATGCCAATGAAGCGGGCAGTTATTTTCAGGTTATCTAACATCAGCAATTGGTCCGTTTCTTCCGTTTCTGCAGCCATCCAGACCACCACCAAGTGGTCGCCGTTTCTTTCGGTGCCCCTGTGGACGCCTCATCCTCGTTCCCATGTACGTACCATGTGTTAATTGTCCAAGGCCGGGATGTCGTCGATTGCTGCTGTTGCCAGCAACAAAAGCTGCAGAGTTTACTGAGTTAACACGTACTCAATCGGCTCAGGCGGCAACAGATATGAGAGGTGGAACTCCAGTGGAGTCTGGACTCATAACAAGTAAGTGTTGAATCATGCTTTCAAGCTGATTTGCTTGGTGCGGCTGAGTAATAACGGTAGTGCCTCAGCTCAGTCCTTGGCCAGAACCTTCCTAGCGTTTTCAGTAAAACAATCAACAAGGGTAAAGAAAGTGTACTAAAATCCGCGAAACCAAGTCAGCGTGTGTATGAGACGACAGCATTCTGTCAACTCCGAAGGCTCTTGGAGGAGGCACTGGTAGCCGGCATTCGATGGATAGTGAAACACGATTAGCTATTGGTTCCTCACTTTGGGTAATCAAAGCTCACCTTGACGCTGGCCTAGCAAGCGACTAGATCATCTGGCCAATCGCGTGTGCTCAATGCTTCTTGGCCGCAGCAGCACCTAATTACGAGTCGTAAGGCGGTTTTACTTCAGGCTTCCTCCTAGAATAACTATTCTTCTACACGATGGTTGAGTGTATCGGATGTTGGTCAACCATCGGAATGCCTCCTTAATTCACATCCAGTTCATTCTACTAGCAGGAAATCCCTATCTAATTACCAAATACTTTGAGTTACAGTTGGTCAGATGCTCGGTAGAAACTTAAAAGAAATGATATACATGATTAAAACTACTGAAAAATTCAGAAGCCTTCCAATGGTTATCAGTGAATGTGAAGAAAACACAAAGATCTAAATCTCACGTATTGGAAAGGAGTATGTCTGCTTCCACGAAAGGATGTCGACGTTAAACTTTACTTCAAAAAGAGGATATCACACGAGATATTATTAAAAGTGACACTGTCTGGGAGTTCGACAGGACTGTTCATTACCGAATATATTGTTAAACTACACAGTCAACTGACTTACATGCCACCCTGACAAGGGAGACTACAGAGTTGTGACTGGACGGGCGCGATGACGCACTTTGAATTCGCGGATTACCTAGCTGCCCTTCTTGTATGTCACCACTGTCTAGAGCAGGTCCTCAAAATCACCTTCCCCTGTTGGCCTTGAGATCAGCATCTCAAAAATTAGAGCCTCCTCTCCATCAGCACTCAACTCTGCTTACAATGAACGGAGAAACACTGGAGAATTTTTGCGAGTTTAGGTGCCTAGGCTCATCCATTCTACCGAACGACCAGCCTAAGGATGAAAGCACAATTCTCTTGGACAGAAATTACAGGTTGTTCCTATAACTGATATGTTCACCATGACGCAGAGAAGAATTGTTTTGAAGATTATCCTTTGAGTTTGTCTTTCTTCCGTCTAACCTGCTTGACATTGTGCTCACAAAAGCCTGTCGAAGTGTGATAGGAGCACTCGCAGGATGGAGATTTTCTACCGCTGACGCCTGAGAAGCATTCCGGAACTGCATCCCAAAAGCGCATATTGAGTGTAAAGGTCCGCCGTCGGAGCTGTCGTCTTGCTGAACTCAAGTGATGTCGATTCCATTGGTCTGGGCACGTTCTTTGTTACTCTCATACGGACATCACTAAAGCCCTCTAACCACTCCAAGAATGGTATGATTGGTAGGCTAGAGACATTGCTAAGACCACGTCGAAGGCCACAATCCATCTACGGTCACAACCGACGTAAGCAACACTGGTTTGATATCTGTGACAGTCATTCCGCCGAACGCCGCGCTTGCGCATTTGTTCTTTGGACATCCACTTTTTGAGGCAGAGATGATTCCCGATTATGATAAACATCCATCCAGAAATAAATAAAACTCAAGAAGGCTTCCGAATGAGGATAGAAGCGTTTATAGGCTTCTGTGTTTTTTTTTCAGCCAACTGGCCGAACGAAGGAATCCGACCGATCGAACTGCGCTGTGGTTATTGCTACTACCGATTCTTTGCACCAGGTGCTCTCAGATTGACTTCGGATGCAAAATGCCCGCAGTGTAAGCGCCTCACATCAGTTGGTCCGGACTTTGCTCGAATACGGGCTTCCAGGTTGCTGATCTACGCAGTGTTAGCATTTACAGCAGCAATAATTCCTTCAGTGAGTGGTTGATCAGTTCATCAATCCATTGTTACGAATGGGGTTACTTCTGTTAGCATTTTCCGCTGTGGTACATCTTACGGGCGAGTCCGCCTGGTTTACCTAATTCTAAGTCAAAGTCCACGCCGCTGGTGCTAACGGCGTTCGCTAGTGAAGGAGCCGATTACTGTGGACTTTCTCATTTATTTTCTTTAAACACCGAGCAATAATTCTCGCCGTAGTTCGAACTACATCAGGTTTTTCTAGTCTTCGATCAGGGAATGAGAGACGAAGTCGATGAAATACCCTGAGAGTGAAATTTGGTTGGCCGGTGACCACCAATTTTTAACTAGACTTAACTGAGTACCAATTTCGCAAGTCAGCATCGTTTAACCAATATTCTGAGTGTTTTACTCTCTCTGATGCTACAAACACTGAGTACAACCAAACAACTGGTAAATAGTCATACTAATGTTGAAGTTGTTCCACTCCCCAGGTGGTAACGTATGTGTACAGAGAAGAAATCGAGGGCCACTACTGTTCCATCTTGGGTGAGTTCGTATTTTAACTGATAAAGTCTCCGAAGCATTTTGACGGAACTAAGATGCTGTACCCATTCTGTGATGGATAGCTATTTAGTTTTGATAAGTTTACAACCCAAATTAGCCTGAAAAGCTGCGGTAGCCCTTTCTAATTAATTGAGGACTGGGCAAACTCAGCAGGTTGTTGATGAGATCTGCTATTCGCGTATGAACTCTTGGGGAAAAGGTTACACGCAGTGACTATCTCTGTTAATGCTGATTCTTAGGTTCATAGCCCAAAATTCAGCATGTTTCGGTTGAAGGCAAATATCCCTGGGGATCAAACTCATGAACTGCTTTGGGATTCAGTTAGTCAACATTCATTCTATTCCTTCAAATCAAGAAAAAGGACTCACTTGGGTTTTACTAAACAGAAGCTTTTGGAGTCAAGTTATTTTACTATTCAGGTTGAAGTAGGGAATGTGGATCGGGACAAGTGAATCAGCACCGTGCCCTATCATTTGGATATCTAAGAAGCGGGAGGACTCTTGTTTTTCTATTCAACCAACATCCGCAAACATAGCTGATTAAAATGGCGCAGGATTATATTTTCCGGACATCTCATAACCATAACCCCTAAAGATGATTTGAGCAGGCTACCCACTGCCAAGCTACCAATTCGTCGATAAAGATCATTCACAAAGCAAAACTGCAATCTTTAGTGCCCAACAGAGGAAAGCATTGGGGACGGTGGGTAGGGTTATTCCTTCCAATACTATACACGCATTTTATATCAACCATCTTCTCAAGAAGAACATTCGTGAGAATGGAACACACCTCGCACAACCCACCATGCTAATGAAAAGCACTTAATTACGAATTTTGTAAGCAAAACTGGACAAATCCTTCGAACTGTATCGCTATCCTACTCCTGATTACTTCAGTGAGCTGAGAATTCCACTGGCCTAAATTCTGACGCGGCGCTCTAGTCATAGAAGGTAGTGGTTGCAATGAAATATCGCCCTTGTAAAATCTGGCAGCCGCGACCCAGGGCATGAGCCTAGCAAGCGTAGTTTTTTGTGCCAGATTGTAACAAGCTTTGCGCGTGCAGTCGCCTGTTCGACTTTTGATGTTCTGCTACAAGCAACTCTCAGGAAAACAAGCGCCCACCTCGTTTTTACTTAGCGGCAGCGAACGAATTGTATGAATAATTGAAAAATGTGGTTAGTCACAACTTGCCTGGTGCTGGTTCAAGTCTACAGCCCAAGTACTTTTGTCCAAGTGCTTGGCTTTCGAATTATTTGTCCATGATCTCCCCTGACCTTGATTTTGAATGTTTACAAACGACTGATGACATGGAAATAGTTGAATTCCATCTATTATGTTATGGTAAACCTTGCTGCCGTAAAATCCATAAAGGGATGAATCTAAAGCCAACCAAATCAGTTCATCACCCGTAACACTCTCAGTGCATGGCTGCGATACGGCCTAAAGGAAGCACTAGGGCTGAAATACTGCTAGGTTGTTCAAAACTAGGGAGGAGCAGTCCAGATGTTGACGTTGGGTTTGAACCACGGACCCTCTGGTCGGTGAGTTCGCACGTCAACTACTTCTTGATGAAAAAACCGTGAGATTTACTAAATCACAGACACCAGAGGCCACTGCTCCTTGTCTACTTTAGTGGATGTTCAGATAAGTTAGTTTGTTTTTGGTCAACTGTTTGACTGGGTCTGGTGCATATGGGGTCGGCTGACCTTTAATTTTTGAATTTGTCTATTGGTCTAAATTGCGGTTTTGGGGAGACAACTGGCCATCACCTTTTGGAAAATGGAATGCGGAATTCTTCTGCTTACAGAGCAGGTGGAGGGTGGTTTCCCAGATCCTTATCAGAAATGGCTAATAGCGCTAGCTTGCAGAGTGCTGGTCTCACCTTACATTCTGTACGGCATGATAACCCCAAAGTGAGCCTCTTGTCTTCTGGCAGCAGCTACTGCAAGCGGGCTGTGATTAGGTCTTCCTTACTTCATTGGCAAGTCGCAAGCCGATCTATCGTACACAAAACTGGGTAAGGGGTTTCTGCGGGACAGACGGTCACTTGGTCTCCGAAATACATGGTTTAACAACAGTGGCCTATGGAGTGCAAGTAGCCGGTGCGTTGTGAATTTGTTGTTTGTCCCTGAAAATTACCCCGCAAGCCTCAAGTTTTAGGATATTATATCCCCATTAGGTCAGAGTAGTGGGGTTACAGACATTTTTGTCCTTCTTCATCTTCACACAAAAGCCAACACTATCATTCGCAGTAGGGAACGGTCACAGTGTATCGGAGACACCGATGAACAAACACTAACTGAGGAATCTAGTCGTGTCGTGATGTCAACACGGTCGCCTTATTTGCAGTAGGGCGGGTGACCACTGACACCATCAAACTCCCTTGAACGTTACCTCTTAAAAACCCCCCTATCCCAGTTCTGTCTATTAGCTATAAACAATTTACCAAGTGTAAATTGGTGGGTTCAGTCCCTGACTACCAATAGTTTTGGAGCATGCTGACCGATTCAGTCCAGAGCCTCGTTCGGTGAAAACTTTCATCAAATTTTACTGGTAAAACCCAGAAATGAGCAGCTCAGTTATGGGTCGTAAGTTGGAGAAACATGTTAAGGCGGCCTCCCCGGATGACACTGACCGTAACTGGTTTACTAAGGTTGTAATTCAACTGTTGTGAGACTTGCTCCCCCCACTCCGAAGAGGGGCATTGAAACTGACCACCGGGTTTCCAGTGGCACAGCAACATTTAGCTGGCCACAGTAAATACGCGAAATAACATCTGTAACGAATTATGCAAGCGTGGTATTGGCAACGTGCCAGAATCCTTAGAGCATCAGATTAAATCTGTCAGTTTCAGGTAGTTAGGAAACGCGCTATATATGTCCAACCACAACCTACTCAGGGAGGCGTTGTTTTCTGTCTCAAGCCATCGTTCAATAAAGTCTTCCAAGGGACGGATCAAGATATGTTGTGAAACCGGTTAAAGTTAAACTGAGCACTGTGGGATCTTCACGGTCTCCTGGTTAGGGTATACGTGATCCTGCCTGCGCTTGGTTGGAAGCAGCAGAACATGAAATGCCACTCATGCTATGATTTTCTGGCCAGACTACCTGGTAGCATTTCGCCTGTTGTTGTGATCCGGGATCAGGTTTGCGAAGAACGCCTCACTAGTCCCACTGGTGGCTCTTCAAACCGATATGAAGCCCAGATTTATTTATTTCAATGATGTCCAGATTTGTAAGTACGTTCCTCTTGATTGTCTTAAGGACAGGATTTCTTCGAGCCGAATCCCAGCCCCTAGTATTCTTTGTCGATCATTTCTAAAACATGCCTCATAGTCGCGTGGCAGTCTGGCGCTAGGGTGAGAAATTCGCAAAACTGATGTTCGCAAACGCAAAACGCCATCTACCAACCATAAAACTATCTTCGTGTTTCCCCGAAGGCATACGGATCAACACTAGGAAGGTACACCATTGGTTATTTAATGAAAATGACGTTGATTATCGAACTTCCACCGCCGTTTTAACTCGCTCTTCAAGATCGGACTTCTTGCCTACCAAGCCAGTTTTCCTCCTTGACCGTTGTTTATCTGTCAACCATTCTGAAGCTTTATTCTTCTTCTCAACTACATTGATTTTTGAAGCATCTTTTGACTCAAGAGTTTATATTTTACTATTGGCTTGGAAATTTTCTCCTCCATTTACAACTTCGGTACATCTTCCCAGTGCCACAACGGAATTCTTACTCTTCAGTGACCCTGATCCTTTTCTTCTGTGGTCAAACGGACTGACCCACTCAACCCTGCACTGACGACGTCACCTCGATCGGTGATGAAACGTTTGCAATCCAATTGCCAAGCTCGGCGAACAGACCAACAACCAAACAACGCACCCGAGCTACCTACATTCCACAACATTGCTAAGACTGAAATCCCGTTTTGACGGTTGTTAACCAGCCGGAAATGTTCTCATTGGAACTGATAATTTCCTCGCTCCGAACGGAGCACTGATTGTCGTTGGCTTGTTCGCTTAGCTAGGGAAATTGGTCGTATAGGATCACACGTTTGCAACCAAATTGCCCAGCTCAGCGAACAAGCCAACGACCATCTACGCCACCTGAGCTACCGACATTCTCCTCTATAGGAGCACTGATTGCTTACAATTATGATCAGCAAGGCCGAGCGAAGCATCTATATCACCTTACCAGAACCCAAGTTATTCGTTTGAATGGGTTCTATGGAGAATTTTTTTGGAAAACTTTCATTGCCCTGATTTGTGACGTGAATCGAAGTAGTTTTCTGGTGGCTGGCCTCTCTTCGTTCTCTCATTTGTTCATCCAGTAAACTTTCTTTTCGCAAAGCGATTGACGGAGAGAGAGCTTACTTGTTTCCAACAAATCAAGTCAAATAGTCCCGATATGATAAATGCACGTGAGAATGAATGGTTGGAAATTTTGAATGCTCCGACCCACTTACTCTCATTCCCACTCAACTCTTGATGGGACCCGAACAGGCGCATCGTCCTGCCTCAGAGCATGATACAAACGTCCTCTCAACCGACATGTTGCCGAAATACTTGACTACGACACAGTTAATTTTCCAGTGAGCTACTTCCCAAATCGTTTACGGCTTGTAATGGACGGAACCCCTGCCGCATTAGGACGCCATTTGCTTTATACCTTTTGCGCTCCTTTACAAAAGGTCACATGGTAGCTCACTTTAATATTGCATTATATTATATTGTTTATGTAATATCACATAGCATCATTAATCATAATAAACCTGTTGACCCATCGAACTAACATCCGTGGTCATGTATTCGCTTTCAATTGGCAATACATGAGCATTATTTGGTTCGTATGTTGGTGATCCTGAAAAATTTAACATTGAATTACTGTGATGGTCGACCGTTATTGTTTATATCTTCTAGACTCGCAAAATAATGAGATAAACATACAACATGGGGCCTCAAATAGGCACACTCGTGATCACAAGAACATCAAACTTTCACAAAATCTTGATGAATCCTTCTTTTCTATCTGCAGGTTTGGGACTCGCCGGTCTTATCATGTCCATCAAATCAATCCAGTACTACCGAATGCCTGTCAGTCGTATCGTCATTGGCGGCTATGAAATATGAAGATTTGAGAATAAAATATTTTTAGGTCAGAAAGACATCTGAGTAGAAGGAGCAATAACATGATCCGCTACACACAGGTTCCACTGGTTTGACAACAAAGCATAGAGGAAATGGAAGAAATATGCGCCACAGCACTAAAATACGGGAATTGAGAACATCACAGATATTACAAGTCACATATCACAAATAAGTAGATTTTCGAGTATCTTTCACTGACTGTAGGGAGAATTCATTTTGGATGGCGGACTCGGAAAATTCCACAGGTCGCCAGTCTGAATGCGCGTTAGTCCAGTTAGCTCCAAAAGAATCGTCCATCAAATCACGGGAACTTGTCACACCTTCGGTATCACGTAAAAGATGGACGCGATCTGAAAAATCCCGCTCACTGAAATAGCGTGTCAATCGACTGGAAATTCCTGTACAAAAGGAATAGAAAACAGTAGAAATCCATAAGAGTTGGAGTGATGTGAAGTAGCTTGCTGTCCAAAGACTAATCGAGTGGAAGTTAATGTGTACTTCTGAAGAAAGCCCGCAGCAGTTGGAGTCTTGCAGTTCCGTATTCTCGTCATCTAACAACGGTACCTTACAACATGGAGCGACTTTCTGAACAGGACATCGTGAATGTCATGAATTGCAGCTGTTACAATCGCTTACACTACTGACAGCAAAACCTCGCAAACTGTCCGTAGCTGTCACACTGCACATGTTGTCAGAGTATGGATCTTGTTAGTTGTTACCACAGTCATCATCGACCAACCAGGTCAACCTTGTTGTTGATGATGTTGACACACCAAAAAAAGATAGATCCATACATGGACACAGACTGTAAACCGAATTTCCAGCTTACAGTGCAACCAGCAGATCTTATTGTGATGAAAAGATGCTTCGACTGAACGGTCAAAAGTCGGTTCGTTGTCCAGCAAATCAAGTATGCACTCATATGGTAGGATTATACCTTGATCAGGGTGAACGACAAACTATTTCACAGCAGAGACTGAAACTGGTAACGGGGATGGAAATATTTTGACGGAATTATTGGGGCTTAAGTAATTTGCAAACACCTTGACCCACTGCCTAGTGTCACCACGCAGATTGCAACTAGAAAATAATGTGGAATGGCGGTCCTCGTGACATAAACTCGGGGCAACTATAAATTTAAAGACCACTCTTGAACGATTCACCGGATATAGGATTTGGTAGACTGACAGTTAATATCGGTAAGTGAAATTTCTATCACCTCCACAAAGGAGTTTAAGTTGAACGCGCCAATATGCCCAATCTACCCCGTGGGAGAGTATGGAAGCGGGTGAACTCCGTATCGAAATAACAATGGAAGCTTTCAACAACTGATGGAGACCCTAAGCAAGAAAGAAAAATCAGGTGGCGTACGACGGTCCACCTACTCAAAGTAATAAGTCACCTAGTCCCTATGTGTGATAGACACAGCTGCTTCTCGTAGAAGACAGTTCATGCCTGCAGACGGGTCTAGATATTGCCGGCGAGCTGAAACCTCGGACAAGAGAGCGACCGGAGCTTTCAACTTAAAATTCCAATCACAAAATGGCGGAAGGGAGGTTCAGCCTGTGATGATCAGTTTGCCGAACATGCTCCAACTCTGAAGGTCAGGGGACTACTGTTCAACCATTTACTCACACACTAAACTGCGACGAAATCCTGTATCAAAAAAGGGACCTAGAGTATATCATTTCAGAGGGGTTTGGTAAACAATCGGTGGATTTATTGTTTACCAAACTCCTCTGAAACGATGACTTCCCAATCGGTCCCAAACATTTTCCAATTGATTGACCTACAGTATAGCTCAGTAGGACACGGAGGCGCATAAACTGTCACACCGCGGTTATTGAATTCAACTTGACCTCGTGACAATTGCCTCATTCATTTGCTTACTCCGTCCACGAGCTTTTGATGTCCACTTGTTTTGCTTGTATTCGCCCACCATTCACCTTGCCACAAAGGCCGTCCCGTCCGACACTGGTGTACTAGCATATATGTATGTGTGTGAATATGCGCAACTAACCCACTAACCACATGCGTGTTCATGCTTCGTTTGTTGAGTCTGCCCTGACTTGTTCTGTCATGGGTTCCATGTGATCGCATCGCCAATCAGAATCACGATAGCGTCCTCGGAAGAGACAACAGCAACCCACACTACAGAGCCAACGTTCCGCTCGCCGTTGTTTGGTGTGCGGACCTTGATACTGCACTGTGCCGGTCAGTGACAGTTTGCATTTGTTGGAGCCACGAAGGTGGACAATTCGCGCTCGCTGTACCTGTATCAACACTGCCGTAGAACTTCGAACCCAATTCTTCCTTTCCATATTCGGGATTGTCAAACCTACGCGTGACTCAAAGTTCCGGAACAATGGCAAGCTCCTGTCTACTGGTGATGGTATTTAAGTCGCACCTCAAAATTTGACGGCTCGACGGAATATCCAGTTTGGTGGTTGCAGATCAAGCAAGTACTTCAGTGGTTCGGTTATGTCCGAAAGCCAGCAAACCTGCATCAAATGCCTAGGGATGCACTGTCGTTCACAAAAAGAACTGAATACTTGCGTCGTCACTGCCAAGTCAGATAAGTCGCTGTTTTATTTCAGTTTCGGATAAGGCATAGGTTCCTGAAACCTGAGTTGGATCTCAGTTGGTGAGGATCTGGCCGCTAAACGCCATTCGCAGATAGCGGCAGTGTGCGAGACCGACTCACTTTAGCAACAGGACTACCACGGCAGCCACCAAGTGACAAGAATAACTTGGACCCAACACAATCCAGAAAATTTAGGCTAGACGTAGGGTAGGGTCGGTTTAGCTAAATCAGCGCGCATGTGGGCCCCAGTATCAGCTCTGACTGACACTTCAAGTAACGAAAACAGTCTTCAACACGCTTTTACACGCTGTGCCACGAATGACTATTGGAGACTATCTAGCCATAGCGTGTTGAAACCAGATATTCACTGATAAGTGAACATCACCATCCTCAGTACTTTACTGGAATATAATTTAGTGGAAAGCTTGGAAGCCGAGAACAGAATCGTGACGAATCCCTCATTTCATGCTGCAGTGAGGCAATCTACGTTCAAAGTGAACTTCACTCTAATATTTGCGTAAGTGTGATTCTCGTTCTAATGAGCTGTACAGGCTATCGAGTGATTACTGGAAGCTAGTCAGAATGTCTTATATGAACAGTCATCATCAAACCAACGACTCGGTTGTGTACAGCTGTTAACCTGTCCCTAAGCTCTACTCCGCCCCTAATGACGCACCGATAGTGTGATTCGGTTGGCGATGCGCTCCAAGTGTTCAGGTCAGAGGGCAAACCGAAGGCCACCTGTATTACCTAAGCTACCGAAGTTCTTCTCAATGGTGTAATTTTTGTCAGTGAAGTGAGCGACTAAAGCGTGTCTGTGATAGGAACTCCTCATTGAGATCAAAACTGAACAAGTTTGGCGGCGGAAGTAAACTACAAAAAGCAACCGCAACCGTGGCAACATTGAACAAGGACACTAATTTGTTACTTACTAATGTTCGGTGGACAGTACGGTCGTTTTGCTTAACCCTACATCATGTGCGGTTGACTGGCAAGACATAAAGTCACTGTATCGAGCACACCATGAATTAACCAGCCTCCAGACACTCACATTCGGTTGTGAATGATATCGGCTCGCTGCAGCGTGAGCAGTTCGAAGAAATCGTAATGTAAAGAGTGAACAGTGTGAAAAACGAGTTGTGCCAATCCAGTAAGCCGTAAAGCAGCTATAATCTCATCCCCAGGACAAACGCTCCTTAGAAGTCTACCTTCAATTGATGGCGAGTTTGCGTCTGATATTGTTAATTAGAGGATCGTGTGTGGCAAACTCACCGAATTCGTTCAGTTTTGAGCATCCGTTGAGCTTCAGCAAGAAACCGCGTCATGGTGCAACTTTGTTGTAGGGCCTCAGGACTAATAGTTGGCGATTCCTCCGGCTTATCCGCCTTTCGTCAGTCGAACCGGTTATTCTTCTGGTACCTAAGTCATTGATCAAGCCGTAGCGGTGCCTACTACGTCAGGATGACAAGTCACCCTGTCAGTCTCATTTCCACACCAGCATTGACAGCTAAGCAAATGCAGATGGTGCTTTATAGCAGTGAAATCACCTCATGATGTCATACTGCACGCGCTTAAGTTTGCACGCACCTCCGTTCTATCCTGCTCACCTAAGTGTGATCAATGCCCTGATTAAATTAGTATCAATTACTATACCGATGGGCTGTACAACAGTGAAAAGTGGATAAGGGTAGACGAGTGTGAGTTGCAGCACAATCGAAATCACATGCCTCAACTATGGTACTACCGTACGTCATGGTTCAGCCCGCGTGAACTGCGTACGACTGATTTGTTGCACAGTCACAACACGCTGGCATTTGGCACGAACATCACTAGTTACGAAGACAGTTGCGGAAGTATACACACCTTAATATACATTTGCAGCATTTGTTATTCCCAATGCTTGAGCACAGTGAAACCCCAGAGTGCGGCATATCTCTGGCGGGAAATCAAAAGTCCTCTAACTACTAAGCGTCTTATTTGGCCGACACATATCTAAGCACACACAGCTATCCAAGGAGCTATTCCACGTGTCCTTTTCAAATTGTTAATTGACTTTACAGTTACGAAGTACTTTTGCTTTGTTGTTATTCAGCCTTATACCGTATATGATTGCTACTTCACCAGCAGAACACAAGTGCGCGCCGGAGGCATGCGCCTAACTGCTTCATTGATGTAGGACTTCTACAGTCTTCTGGCTTAACGAGCATTTGGATAGGTACTTGTTAAATCGATTACCTTGATGCAGGAGTCCCACTGGGTGTGACTGGGCAACGTCGGTCAGAGTCTATTCAGTGTTGCAAACCATTATGTGTTGGGTTCTGGGGTGTCCATCCATGAAGGGTTTGTTAGTCTGGGCTTCAATAAACAAATCCGAACCCTAAACTGACCGACCACCTTCCACCCGTTTCCATGCTGCCACAGTTGGGCGGTATGTCCTCATCTTTGCTGATCCCACGTTTCCCTATATACAGGCGATACTTTCAAAGTACAAACAGTCGCACACCGTCCGCGTGCAGAGGGTGTCTCTGATTCAGAAGGCAATATGGTTCGCAACGCTGTAAGGTGTGCTCTACTGTTGACAAATAAGTTGTAGTTGTGAAGACATATTAGTTGTCGGGATTGAAAAAAGCTATCCTGTATTCCCGATTCGAGTAACGATGGCATCTGGTACTAGTCCGTCGGGTGTTACACTGTGGTCAGTTAGGTGCCTTTATCTGCAACGAGGATTTGCCTGAAATGCGTAGGTTTGATTCCTACCAGTATTGCAGTAGCGCCTAACACTGGGAACATAGTACGTGTGTTTTACTTGCTATAGGCAGAAGCAAGTAGACATGATTGTGTTGATTCATTAAAAGGACAGCGAAAAGTAAGTTTATCACTTTGCATCAGTGGTTTAGCTACCAATGGTTGGATAATGTCAACCGCGCAAAGAGTAACCGGTCGACGGATAAATGCACTCCGCATGAGCAGTCAGATGGTGGAGGAACACTGATACAATTTGTAGGGCAGTGTAGTCCTCCACTCACATATTCGAGTAGGCCACAAGCTTAACAGGAACTCGAGGACTACGTCTAACAAACCCCAAGAAGGGAAAGACCATAGTACATAGTACATAGTACCGACATAGTACACTGCTTATAAGCAGTGTACTATATCGAGAAAATATTTACAAACCTCTCCAAAAAATCTCGTACAGTTGGGACCGTCCTTCACTGTGATACAGGATATGGTACGAGTCAATCACACCTATAACCCGCCGTTCGTAGCTGAACGGCCAAGTGCTCAAAACCCTAACTGGGAAGTCGCGGGTTCGAGACTCTCTGAACTTTCGTTAGATGCGCACTACAGATGATTCCAATAAGGAACCCTAACTGGGAAGTCGCGGGTTCGAGACTCTCTGAACTTTCGTTAGATGCGCACTACAGATGATTTCCAATAAGGATGAAATAGCTGTACAGTGCTCCTCGGATTTTAAGCGTAGACTGGCTTCACTTGCAAGACTAAATCTTCATTAAAAACCATAATACTGTTCAGTCAATGGATCTGAGGTCGAAAAATACTTGGGTCATCCGGGTAGTTCTGTCTGCATGGTATTAAACGCTAATTCTACCTATCATAAAGTCACCACCATCGAGAATGGTAAGTCTTCTCCAGCAGTTTTGCATGTCATCATCAAACAGCTTCTTTACGAGCAGGACTCCACATGGGGGCAGCTCATTAGGACTGTAAACATTTTTCGTTCCGTAGCGTGGTAATTATTCGGTTGGGGCTTCTCTCGAAACACCGGTACTTGTTCCCTTGAAAGCACGCAAACTTATGCAAAAACTCCCGTAAACTTACACATCCACTACCCACTTGCTATTCCCCATTCTTGGAAACACATTCGCTCTCCGGGCGGGGACAGCATCGTAGCTTCTGGGAATCTGATCTAGTGAGATAAACCCTGATTAATCAAAGTATGCGAACGAATAGAATAAGCCGTAGTCCATCAGACAGCTGTTGATCTGTTAGCCGAGCTTAGTAATTGACTTGCTTTCGCTTCAGCGGGTTTAGGGATTCACTCTTCTCAAGCATTCTTCGACTGTTAGTGAATGCTACTCTGAAGGACCAATCGGCAAAAGCAAGACCTAATCAAGCTTCCTGATACGCCATCCCATGTCGCTTTGAATCAAACCATCGATCCACTACATTTCAAAGGATCAAGAATAACTTACCACTCTGCTGACACCTGTCTGACTTAGGAAGGTGTCCATTCACTGAAAATGAAGTGGGGAAAAAGTTGGAGAGCAAACAAACTTGAGCGAGCCCACATATGTTGGTTTTATCTTGAAAACAAACAGAACTCATCTCACCTGATACTCTGTCAAGAAAACACTCTAGCGTGCCCACTCGACAACAGCCTGAGGCGAAAAGAGCTAGTTCGAAGCACGATTAGCGTTCACCCAGCAGCTTATTTTCATAATTCAGTCAAAATGCTACACTGCACTAGCTTGTTGGCAGCTGAGATCTATTAGCCATATTTTCAGAACAAGCTTACGAATGGCATTAGGTTAAGGTGCATTCCTTTCTGGAGGTATTTTTGGTCTCTTTGGACTGCGTTCAACAGCTACGTAAGGACCATCCAGGTGTCCGTAAGTCTCGAGGGACATTCTGCTAGAAACTCCATGGGGAAATTACAAAGTATCCCCCACGTGTCCCCTCATTCATGGGACACCTAACGAAGGGTTTTGCTGCAGTGTGCCACTAGCACGGATGGTGCACGTATGAGATTCAAATTTAGCTGAGTTTTTTACCTGTAAATGTATCGCTCGACATTGTGCTACCGTGGAATATATCAGGAATGGAAAGCTCCATGTTACTCATCAATCCATGAGAATAGATATATGCAAGGGATTGGGACACTTATTTTTAGTCGCAACAAATGTGAAGGTGTTTTTGGGTAACAGGCACACAGCTGTGCTGACCTTATCTGACAATGCACAACTCAATAGCTTACCTTGAACTTTATCGACGTCCACTTTGGTGCCCGACTGAATTCGTCTAGCTTGCGAACGGAGTAAACGTTCTGAGTGACATAAAAGACATAAAAGTCACAGCTCCTAAGCTATTATGTAGAAGCTGAAGACAGCAATAATACACAAATACAGTGTGAAAGGTGACAGAAATGTGCAAGCAGCCACCAGTGATTGATAGCCTCAAGCAACTGAGCATCAAAAACGTTGTGCAATCATCACGCGTACATCTTGACAGACATATGAAGATACTCAATCTATCCAGTGCACAGAATTGAACAGCTGGCGTACTTCAACACAAAACTGCCCGTAAGGCTCCTCACTAGTGTTAGGAAAGTCAATAATCCACCCTGTTTCAACGCTAGGAAACAAATCCAAAACCATCAACGTAGTCAAATTTCAACCGCATGGATCACAAAACAAAAGTATAAGTAGCACATCATACGCAACACTGCTTGAAGCTATTTAGGAGGCAGGTATGATGATATAGCCACATTTTTTGTTTTCACAGCCGTTTGCTCTTGGAGTAAACAAGATTGGTTTAAATGAGACTAGCAACACTGTAGATAGGAACACTTAGAGCTTCCCTTCTTTCAATACTTGGGCGAGATGGCCCAAGTGCTTAGAGCGCGAATTTACTAACCGGAAGGTCCGTGATTCGAACCCGACCTCTGCCTCTCGACATCCCCTGTCTAGGCTGCGGCAATCTCGTAGTATCCCAGCCCTCGTGCTTCCTTCGGGTAGCATGGCAGCTAGGCACCGAAAGGGTGTTACAGCTGCATTCCAGATACAAGGTACATCGATCTCAAAATGGTGCGCCTCAAACTGAGGGAGCGGTATGAACTTCGACATCTAGTCTGAACTACCGTCATTTTCAACACAGGATCTGAAAACTACCTGGGTAACCTATTCAACAAAGGGGTAATCTTGGAGGCAAAGAATCCTTTTATTGCCACACTTCTGTCAACAAACCCACCAAACTAAAGGATATACGATTTCTGAGCCCGAAACGAACCACGGTGGAAGCGAAAAGGAATCCATGTGTCAGCGAAAAAAGGATTCAAGGAGGCAGTACAAACTAAGCATTGCAGACTGCCTTCTCTTATAGTGGAAGATAATAGGTGTATAGTGCATTCTGTGAAAGGCTGTACCTGCTCAAATATACTACATGACACACTAGATGCAACGGAACAAAATGGTAACATCGAGATCTAGGGAAAAGAAAAAAGATGAGGGGGAGAAGCTGAGACCACCTGGGGTGACCGTTACCGTATTTTACAGTAGGGTTCTGAGAGTAAAGCAGGATCATCACTGCTATGTGCTGCTACCTGAGGTGAGTGAAAAACACTACACGGCACTTCGGAGCACTGACAAAGAAATAAAGGTTACGGGACCGTTTTACCATTTAGTCAAGTGAACTTGTAAATTCAAATGGTTTGAACAACGAGCATAGTAGCATGTGCTAACGTTATTTACGGTTCATCACTTTCTTTTTCATCGTTTTCGACAATGTTCTCGGCGGAATTTTTATCCACTTGCAAATTTTCTGAAAACATTAACCGTCTGATGAATAAATTCCATCCTGGGTCTTCGTAGTTCCCAGTGACATAATCTGTAACATAAACACTATACCTGTTTCCATGAAACAATATCCCAAGTGGACTCCAGCTTTGAAAAAGCAGGAAAGTAGTGCGGCAAAAATCCACTCTAACTTGTGTGGTGATTTCACCAACTTACAAAATACCGTAATATTAAGAATAAGGAAACAGCTCACACATACCGTAGGACGAGCAACTATATTGCAAAATGACCACTGTTCGCAGTGAGGGATTAAAGAACTAACACTGGCGAGGAAACTCAGTTTGATGTTCTGGGTAACGTTGTGGGAATAAAGTCACCCAAAAACGAAGCAGTAACCATCTTTTCTTTAGGTGTGAGAGCGTTGGTTTGAACAATCATCCATCAGATGAGTGCCGCATCACGAACAAGGTCAAGTATCGCTGCTGCAACCTGTTTTATTCATTTTTGATGTGGGACGAGATGGCTCAGTCGTTAGAGCGTTAATTTACTAACCGAAGGTCCGTAAGGACGAGCAACTATATTGCAAAATGACCACTGTTCGCAGTGAGGGATTAAAGAACTAACACTGGCGAGGAAACTCAGTTTGATGTTCTGGGTAACGTTGTGGGAATAAAGTCACCCAAAAACGAAGCAGTAACCATCTTTTCTTTAGGTGTGAGAGCGTTGGTTTGAACAATCATCCATCAGATGAGTGCCGCATCACGAACAAGGTCAAGTATCGCTGCTGCAACCTGTTTTATTCATTTTTGATGTGGGACGAGATGGCTCAGTCGTTAGAGCGTTAATTTACTAACCGGAAGGTCCGTAGTTCGAACCCGACCTCTGCCTCTCGACTTCCCCTATCTAGGCCTGGCTGGACTGGAAGTATCCCAGCCCTCATGCTTCCTTCTGGTGGCATCGTAGTTAGGTACCGAAAGGGTGCTACAGCTGAACGGTTATTATATTATATTATTGTGGAACGTCGGGTACATGACCTTGATTTCATATGAGTGGGCAAAAACCCTTTGGAGAATAATACCGTGGAGTTTGTAGAGCTGAAGACGGGGATTCGAAAGGAAATGACGGGAAATGTTTGTCGTTAACTTACCTGGGGAGTGGCCGGTCTTTGATAGGGTCTCTTAGAGGGATGTATCTAAAGCATTAGAAAGGGCTAGTGTTGCAAGAGCTCCACAGACTCTTACTCCAAACAAATCCTCACTTGCATGTTTAGGATACAATACATCCTCATATCATCCGTATTACTACCAGCCAAGTACAGATTTCCAGTAGATACACCTACTATATAATTGACTCGTTCGCTAGCCCAACAGTTTGTTTAGAGGGATGATGTTTGCTTCACGTTGACTATCTCCTAAAGAAGGGTGAATCCTCTTCTTGAACACTGAAATGCTGTTCGCGATGTGCCTGACTGACAGTTGGTGTCCAACAATCGGAGATGAAATGACCTTAATTGATGACGAGTAAAAAATAGGCTCTCCTACATGCTTGCTAGTCGGCTAAACTCTGTAGATCAGCTTGGTTCACCAGACACCGAAAAAGACTTGAACAGATGATTGTTATTGCAGAGGCAAGAGTCCAACGAACGATTGTGGGAATATACTGGTTCTTACCCTTTCGAAGTAACAACCGCCCATCTTGAATAACGTCGTCCACTATTGAGTCACCGGATACATTCAGTTTATAGCCTGGGGAATCCATCAACTCCGCAATTCCGATCTGATGCAGTAGTCTGGTCAACAGTTGAAAGTAAGTACACAGGCACAACAAGACGACAAGAATCGGAAAGTAGACGTTGAACCCTTTGGCGATGAAGGGAATGATGTCCAAATGTCCCATAAATCGTGTATAGGTGGTTTCAATAGTGGTGGACGGCTGTGCTGTTGATTCTATTCCAGATAGGGGTATCGTCAATGTTGTTTGAGAAAGGTGGGTGTCCAGATGGGCCAATCCAAGGAAGTTCAAGCATAACGAAGGTGCCAAACGACATGCTAAGCTAACAAGGGAAAGAATATAAGTTAGGATTCGTGAAAATGGACATAAGGATGTAAGGTGCTTGAGCTACACGCCACTGCAAAATATCGTAAGGTCACTTGAAGCGCTACATGGTTGTATTCCAACTGTAAAATAATTCACTGGAGTGAAACAAGCTTACGCCAACGGACAATTTACTGAGTAAGAATAGCATGTAACAATGGGTACTATGATGATGACCGTAAAGTGTAGTTGTAGCAAGAAAGGAGAGGAATGGATCGATAACAGAACATCCGACCGGTTTTCAACCCGACGCCTGAAATAGCATGTTTGACCGACCCCACGCACCTCCTTGATTCCCCTATTTGTCATTTCGATGAGTGTGTGGGTTGCCACGAATATAGAGGACCTCTCGTTACGGGCATCTCGATTTCCAACAATCCGCACAAGGGAATAAAAACGACTTTTAAACAGACAGGATTACGTTCAAATTTCATGGCAGATAACGAGTTGACGGTTGTTTTCAAGAAAAACTACACCACACGGAAAGTGATGGTCAGCTGTGTTAACTCACAAGAACGAGAATGCTGTTAGGAACCTGTAACCTTAAAACCATACGCTGGTCCCGATGGCGTAGTATTATTATCTACCGAGTACCTAGATATGGCTTATTCAACGACAAAATTTGCAATAAAGTATTTTTCACAAGATCTGAAGTGAATAATGACCCCATTAATTCACACTACGGATAAGTCCCACTCGCAGTTAAGCTATTTTCATTCAAAGCCTAACAGTGTACTGTGTAGTTTGAACCGGATTGTACTACTTTATTTTGTGGTGGAAACACTTCACTTGCACACACATTATATGCAAGTACTGTCAGGCTGTACGATATAATTAAAAAAGAAGCACCCAATTGGACAAATCCACAGATACTGTGAATTATCAGTCCAACGTACCAAATATATACTCGACGCGGATTTCTCACACAATCGGAATCGAAACCACCTACGCGGTCGAGGAAGCGACCACCTTCAAATTTGGAGGATCTGGTTATAGGAAATGCACAGCAGTCTTTGGATGGATCGTTAGCAGTTAAGCAATAAAAAATTTCGGGATGACTGCTTCTTACACTTGCTCAAACCGCTTGATTTCCCAACAGGGTTAGTTAGCGTGGTAGCCATAACAGCCACATTAAGCTTGAAAAGCATAGTTCTTGCGAATACCAAGAAAACAATGGAGGGAACGTGACAACCGACAATTTTACAAAAGCACCACTTACCCACCACAGAACAAGAGTGAATTCTCGTCCGTATGATGATTTCCAACGAGCCGATAATAGTTGAAAATCCGTAAATGGAAGACAGTGTAAAACACAGCGAAACTTAAGTAACCCAAGGCGAGAAAAGAGGACACCTAAAAGGTAAACATTGTTCGAAAAGTTAGTTTAGAACTCACGAAAGCAAACCTAGATTGTCCGCTGTGACTTTAGATGTGCTGAGTTCAAATCAGTTGGGATGTTTGTCAAGGACAAAGCGGGCCGAGGATGTTAGTGAGAAGACGCTATGTCTATATTCATTTTCGCCACTTTTCTGTTGAAATGTAATGAGGATAAATACATACTGAAAGTGATACGGTACCATATTCTAGGCAAACCTCTACGGAAAATACCGAAATGTCTAATCGGTAGAGATGCTTTCTCTTGTGACAGACTAACAAAGCTGTCCAAATTAGCTAACGATGGATCCGAACACGCCATTCATTACAAATCAGGTAAACCAACTGCACAAGTACAAGTGGTAGGGATGAGGACTTCAGGTTAAGTGTTTATCCGCAAGCTAGAGAGTCATTTGACTGATCCCTCTACATCAGTAGTTCTTTTCATCTATTATCTGCTTTCTTCTGCTTCATCAGCCTGAAATATCCTAGTCCTTCTCAACGAAAACTGTCTCACGATATAGACTGCCGAAAACGTTTTAACTAGTGGCCCAAGTCACAATCTATAGCATGAATTGTTCCGAACTACGTAAAAATGGACTGCGTCTGTTTTATTACCATGCCTCAATCAAACATGAAACAGTTGAAAGAGAGCTACCTAGCAATTAAAGTATATAATTACAAGTATACTTAAAAATTTGGTGCAGCTGCAAACTACTTCATCACACGTACGCAGTAGACGATAAGTGCGATTACACAACCTGTTTCTCCAAAGGCACCAAAAACTGCTGGGAAACAAAGTACTTAGCGATAGGTCCTGACCGGGTTGAGACTTGAACTAAGCTCCCTTAATTTTGCGGGACACAAGGTTCAAAATAACATTGTAAAAAGCTCCGGGGAAAACGCATACAGAATAACCTGACATTTTTGAGACAAGACGGTAAGTGGACAGCGCTAGGGCAATGAGCATAGCAGCAAGTAGCTAGCGTTTGTTTTTCTGAGGGAACCAATTAGATCAGTTTGAGCTGCGTGAACCGATCATTCAGTAGTATCGTCTACTGAAAGATTCATTCAAACTCTCAATGTCGGTTCTTACAAGTGCAGTGGAGTACAAAAGTATGAATGTACTGAGTGATACCACGGGCGCATACTGTACCCCAGCATATATTAGAACACAATTCGAACGAAAAGAGGTATATAACCGGTTACCTCAACGAGGAAATAATCCCGTTGTTTAGCCTCAGCGTTGAGCAACCCAGCCACCAGCGACAGAGTCGGTGAGCGCACAGAGAATGTGCACTCACTCCAGACCATCAGCAAAGACGTCAATGCCAACAAGAGTGCTAGGAGTCGAAGGAGCCACAGACGAAGATAGCAGTACCAATACCACTGGATGCGAAGCGTAATAACACTCAGATATGGAGCGACGTTTTGAATCGCTCCATTAAGCGAACCGCTGTGCTCACGAAGAAATGTTGGGGAAAAACTGTCAGAAAAAGAACCGCAGACTAATGGGCATAAGTACCAAACCACAAAACGACATCTAAAACGATGTGGTTGTGTTTAGAGGTACCACCATCTGCAAATTGAGTTGAAACTACGTGAGCCATAGCTAAAATAGGCTCAAACTCATCCAACTCAAAAAATTGTGACGAGATATTTTCGACGATTCCGAATGCACCTGCCCATTTTCGGTAAAGATAGCACAGTTATCATAGATGAGTCACAGCCGAGGGAAATTGTGACGAACTGATTATTATTCATCATTCGTTCAGCTACAGTACCCTTTCGGGGTCTAGCTGCCACGTCATCCGAAGGAAACACGAGGGCTGGGACACTACCAGGTAGCCCAAGCCTAGAAGCAAGAAGTCAAGATGCATAGGTCGGATTCAAACTACCAAACTTCCGATCAGTAAATTTGCGCTCTAACCAGAGCCATCACTGTTTGGTTACTATTTGATTAATAGTCGGATGTGGTGGGGGTGGGCAAACACATGCACAAGATTATGTGGTTAAATGAGGGACAGGTAGTCATAATTCGTTTGGACAGTGGTTAGTAAGGCTTCATGAAATCAACACCTCTAATGTTTGACCAAACAGAATATAAGTTGTTGAATTGGATAAAAGGGACTAGCTCACCATTTTCCACGAGCAATATTTACGTCTTCGATCCAAAGCGCACTCTGCACAGCATCGTTGTACAAATCCAGAGCACGAGCACATCTTTGTTGCGTGGCCTTCAACGATCTGTGCATTCTAGCCAGCGTCTTCACGCTCAAATTACTGATATCTAGTGCCGCCACTGGAGTGCCGATAGGGTCGCAGGATGCCCCTAGGACGGACTTCCTTTCCTGGGTCTGAAAAAGAATTGTGAAGAGACGCTCAGCTGAATTCTCAAAAATTGCCCAGAGGATCCACCAAAATACAAGAATGGCCTAAACTCTCTCTCCGTCAGCTAATGTGAACGTGACCCCGTCCAACAAGGAGTGGTGCTTCGCTTTTGATCCGGAGCAAGCAATTCCTGTTAAGATGCATGCAAGGTACTATAGAATTAAATAACCACCCATGAGCGTTTTCACTATACTAAGTTTCTCTGTCGCTTTGCGTGTTTAGTTATGAATGTGGCTTGTCGTACCTTAAATTCAGTAGCATAAACCAACAACAACGAGGTTTAAAGCATGTACCAAGGCCAGTTTCACATTCTTCTCAGATGCGATCTGGGAAGGATAAAAGGACCGACCAAATATCATCACCAGAATGATCCATAGGGAATTAAAACAAATGTGCTTCTTTCTCGCTCCATAGACCACCAGCGCAACAGGATTCCCGATCTAAAGCAGTCACCATGCCGCGGTGGTCTGGCTTCTGTGCCGCAATGACCCTGAGGACTATACCGGTTGTAACTCAGTTCAATTATGCCAGGAAGGTCAACAGGTAGCAGCCTAAAGAAGGAGGGCGAGGCTCTGTGCTGCGAATAATCGTATTGCAAGGTGGTCTGGAGGTAAAGTCGTAATGTGCTCCGCAAAAAGAGTGTGAAAGCAACAAGGCGTTTCCCCCAGGTGACTAGCATATATATGGAACCAGTGATGTTGCCCTCCGCTGAGGAAAGACAGGCTATAAAATTTAACCCCAAAAACCACACACTCCGAACGCCCAACGGTTGACCTGGACCGCCGGCGCATTATCCGATAAGGTCAAAATACTTTTGAAACCACAGGGTCCGGTGCTGCTCAGAAGGCACCTGCTATGCGCAGCTTCATTAGGAGTGGTACAGTAATGTCTTACTAGTTCTGTCCCCGGGCCACGTTGACCCCTTCAGCCAAGTGGGTAAGATTATCAAGTCCTTAGCTCCTGAAAATATCCCTTAAGAAGACCTTGGCTCTCCGTGAAGACTTTTGAGTCAGAGGCTAGGGGCAGGATCCCCGAACAAAACCCTACATCCTTCCATTGCCTTGAGCCATGAAACATTGGATCGCAGTGCCGCAGTTTAAACTGTCTTCGACAAACAAAGTGATGCCACGTCTGCGCCATAGGTGTCGGAGGTTGACAAAAGCTGCCCTGGCCTTCTCGATTCGAGAAGTAATCTCATCTCCATCCAGCCTATCGGAACGTATACAGCTGCCCAAGTATACAATTTTATCTGTCACATCAACTGACTCGCCTACAAGCATGAAGCTCCGGTTTGATCCAAACCAGTCTTGTAGCACCAGTTTACACTCTGCAGGCGTGAAGCATATGACAACCATACTGCAAAAGATTTGGAACGAAAAAAATACCAGTCGGATGGAGCTTCTCGACTGCCATAACAGTTTTCAGGAATGGCACAAAAACGTCATGCGAAAACCATCGTGGCATCAGCCTGGTATTCGTCACATCTAAGGTGCAACCTGGCATTATTTTGCGAAGGCTGAACGGTTATGGAAAGAGACAGATTCATGAGAACCAAGCGGGGTTTCACTCTGTCCAAGGATGCGTGGGCCATATCTCTACCTTTAGACTGATTCTTGAACAAAATTACTCCCGCGTTAGTCGTTTTCCTGAAAGCTGCCTTTGACTTTGTTGGTCGTGAGGAACTGTGAAGGTGTCTGGATAAACAGATTGTCTGCACTTCGAGCTCTCAATCAGGCACATAAGCAGGGTTTCACCCAATTTGGTAGTTTTTCGCATTTTCGTATCCTCAGACTGGTGGTCAGTACTTGGAATAAGCGCACATTCTAGCCTGAATTAGTCTAATTTGAGACATTGTTCTCTCTGTTGCCATTGTCGACAGGTCGACACAGTTTCATCTGTGTCGTTGCCCTCTAGCCCGATAGACAGGTTTGAACCGATTCCTGCGTAGATATCTTGACTGTTCTCTTCCACTGAAGTATAATAAATAATTATGCGAAGTGATCTAACTAGTCACTGCTGGTAGGTCTCGCATCACGATTTCGGGGAGTGGATCACCCACCTTAGGTTAGTAACTGTCATAGGCGTTTCTACATCAAAAGTTACACTGTTTATTCTCCAGAACTGAAGAACAAACGTCACCGCAAAGGCAGTTAGGCCAATACAGAAGCACTCGGAACAGCATCCCAATGTCCACTCCAATGAAGCGACCATTTTGAGCCCGTTCTGCCAGCGTCGTTGTGTATACATGAGGAAAAAACAAAGTTCCGGACCTTCGTGAATAGACTACACGCTGGATTTTTAAGTCTGTTTCAAATTTACGGTAACAAGTGGGAACGACAGTACAAAAATGAGTAACCCACCTGTTTGAAGACGGTGACCACAAACGGCTGGAGAGGATGACTCGCAGGAAGTCGGTTTTTTATTTCGATAATTTGCTGGAAGGTAGATAAAGGCAGGGTCTATGGAGTGTACAACGTAATCCAGCAGCGAATCGATTAAAATAAAGCAGGCAGGACAGACCTGTTTCAATTAATCTTTACGGGACGGCTTTGTGAAGCGACGGATAAGGAGAATACGTGCCGGACGCAGGGTTAATATCGGATACGGACTGGGCCATATCAGTCTCATGCGGTTCTCTATAAAAGAACGCTGTAGCGACCAAAACGACCGTTTTCAGTTTAGAGTATTTGTTGTACAAGGAATCATTTATGCAACAAACTTATTGTTGAAAAACCCTATCGAAGTGTAAAAGAGTACCAAATTCATTATTATGAATCCAATATGCGAGTAGATAGGGTGAAACCCTGTCCATGATGCTAGTCATTAGGTTTCTGATCCCTAAAGCGCCAAAGCGATAATCACAACCAGACTGTTTTCATCGAGTTTGCAATCGTCTGAAATCGCACATCTCAGAAATAGGTGGAAATTGTCTAAGATTTCTACGTTCTGTAATCCCAATAATATTTTGTCACCCTATCGGGGCATGTCCGAACCCCAACCTGGCCCTCCAGATTGAGGGTTGGATAAAGTGTGACAATTTATTTAAAATTCAGGCTAAACGACCAGTCCCAAACCAACTATCACTATCTTGCACTCAAGCTTGTGTGAGAGTTTTGGTTGTAGACCCAAACTGTCTTCTTATTTAGGTTTGGGCACCCTGGAAATGCCTCAACCCACACACTACCACGAACTTTACATACAAGTGGATTGACATATGAATGAGGTCTGGGCTTAGTCCAACTCACAAAAGAAGCAGAACTTTAGAGCGCAGATGAAAGAGGCGAACCACGGTCGCAACTCACGGTTTCGACAAGATTTAATCCAGGGGGAATCACGCTGCCAAACGGCTTATCGTAATTGTGAGTATGGGCACTGATTACAGCGAAACGCAGGCCTTCGAGGTTAATGTTATTATCCAGAACGAGTATGGCCCTCATTAAATCCCCATCTAAGATTATGTGGGGCTAAAAATGCCTCATGACGAGAGCGACATTTCATTTGAATTAGGGGAAGGGGTTCAAGAGACCCATTTTGTCTGACACACAGTGAGGTCGGTGATCATCAGATCCTAACGGCTTCTGCAACCAATGCTGTTCAAGAGCGCAGAAACCACTATTGGGTCCATTGACGTGTATTACCCACTTCCACAGAACGAGTCGGTGTCCAAAAATAAGCGGCAATAAGTGAAGTATGACAACTGTAGTGCAAAATTGTAGGCAAATAACAAGTTGGTGCAGAATGGACAGACACATATAGCACGCTACTAATTAGGTAAATGAGAACTGCCCACACACCACTACCATTTTTGCCCTGCTCGAGGTTAATCAAGATGGTGTAGACCCAAAGCAATCAATATTATTCCATGCTTGAACTGGTAGATGCGCATCGGTCAAAGAACATCGTGAAAGAGAGATCTGTTCGCAAATGAGTGGTTGATCCCACTTACGAGATTCAGTTCCTTTAATTTGTCTTCTTCGTCGTTTAGTTCCATGTTGCGTTTGCTCAGACAGAAGTATGCATGATGCAGACTGGCCACTGGATTGCCGGCTAACCACAGTGATCGGGGTACTGCTACCAAGCCATAACCAAGGAATATGATGACCAGGAACAGCCCCCAAGTGTTCCCAGTAGTGATTAAAAGCACTTTGAGATAGCGACTGCAAAAAGAACAAAAACGTCTTCGTACCAAATTTTACGCCATGAAAAAAGTAAACTAACTACAGAAATTTCATGCGAGATCAAGAATTAGGACCAGACATCAACCTAATACTTGGATTCTTTTATTCAGAAATCACTACTATATAGGTACATGTATATACTCAGACGTCCTATTCCGAGGCCAACGAGAAAAAGAGCAGCGAGCCGCTGCGTCACTTGTAATCAGAGTGCAATCACATTGTGTCTAAAAGTGTACTGTATACTTTGCAGATGCGAAGATGCTTCTGATAAGGGAGCAGAATTTACAAACTCGCAAAAGCGTTAATCTTCCTCGGAGAGATGCTGCCCCTAAATGTGTACTTGTGTTGCTCAGACACTCGTACCGACTGAGGTGTCTGAAAATACATGTAGTAAAATAATTGAGATTGAGGATCGGTAAGACACTGACTATCGGACAGGCCAAAATAGTGTACCACTGCCTCCAAATAGACTTCCTCAAGGAACTCCCGATGTGGGATACCTTCGAACTGGATGACTAATAGGTGTTATTCGTTTTTGTTTCTTCTTCGTTTCTCATCTGCATGCAAATGTAAGTGGACCAGATACTCACCAGCGATCTTACCGGTCATGTCATTTCTGCACTGAACTTTCACTGGATGTGAAAGTTGGCAGGATGAACAGGAAAAATGCGACATATATATATATATATATATGTATATATATGGTAGAACATTTTGAATTGTACCGACTGAGTCGCCATGACCATAAATTGGTTATTAAACCGATTTCTCATGCCGAGTACCCTGAGTTAGGTTACGCTAAACCTACGTTAGTGAGTTCACCCTGATGTTATGCTATTCAACCTGTGTGATCGATTCAAGTGACTAAAGGGAACTCAATCACCCAAATTAGGCTTTTTATCTCCTCTGCAGGGCGGAAAGACACGGCTTAACGGTCTTAATGACACAATGCTGGTCGAATAACTAAACAACAGTGAGGGAGAACGTTGGATATGAAACATGAACAAAGTTGAAGTGGCACGTAATTGGGCTGGTGTAAACTAAGAGCACTCGAAATAGTTGCTAGTTCATCGGGAAGGCTTACAGCTAATATTGGTTTCAGAACACAACCCAAAATGAATAGGCAAAAACATCTTGCCGAGTATCGATTGTTGGGTACGCATGAACTACATGACAGCCTGGTGGAGATTTCCGCATCCGAATAAAGGGTTCACTCACGTTGGGCTTAAGGAATGCACCACTGATGTCGGCCTTGTTTACTAGGTATGCTGGTGTCGTCACCGGATGTCTTCATCAAATCGTGGTGTAATGATCTACATTCCGTCAAACTTGACAAAGGCCTCTAGTTAGGAGCGATCAGTACATATCGAAAGTTCACTTGAAGAATGTTCTTACTAGTCAGCCACTACTACGAACATCAATTACTGAGAAAGAAACCCGCTTAGTAAGTCACACCTACCTATTAATCTGGCTACCGTATTGTATACTATTCCCACAGGCTTCTCCAACTCAAGCGCAAGTAATCATCCTAACCTTGACACGAATAAGCGAACTTCACCAGTATATATGTAGCGTTTACTGTCGCAGCACAGCATACGAGACCGCAACATGATTGACCACTTGTGTTCAGCATCTGTATCTAATGGGTTCAGAGTGATTGGAAAAACCGCTGACCGAGTCGCTGTCATAAGCAATGTTGAGAATGATACTCAAAAATACTACCAAAACACTGAAGCATTCGATCTGTGGCACAGAAAAAGCGGGAAGACTCACTACCCGAGATACAACCCAAGAGAGTAACACCAACTTTCGAACATTTTTTTCCAAAATCATCCGTCAGTAATGGCAAAACTTACAATTCAAAAGACACAATTCGAGAGGCGATGAGATAAATCAATGCTCCCATGAATATCACGAAATAAGAGGCGTTATAGAGAACATGATCCAACAAAGCGGTCTTGAGCTTTCCCAAAGCCGTGAAGTCTCCAGCCGTGGCATATGACCTCATCAGAGGTATCAAAACCCTTAAGATAAAAACAGGTGAACCGAAGATTATTTGGAAGACCTACCATGTTAGGAACTGTGAACCCCAATAAACCAGGTGCCAAATTAACAGAAATACGGCCGGATCAGTATGAAAAAGTGGAGGTATACATCGGGGACCTTCGACTACTCCACTAGCTTGAGTCACGCTGATATTTGGGTTTGACAGAATACAGCTCCTATAGAAAGTCTTCAGGTAGAAAATATGACTAAGTATTCCTTAACGCACCGTAGCAATATCCACAGGTAACAACGTTAGGAGTAAGGCAGGTAACCACCATGATATAAATGCGACCAATGTTGCAACTTTGTGTCGTTTCTTCCATCCACCGTAGTAATAGCAGAGAATGGTAGTAAACACAGCAGTTCCAGCAATGTTCATGAGCAGAAGCGCCAAGGCCATCGATAACCGATACTGCTAAAATCTGAACGACTTTAGGAAACCTACAAACATGAAAATATAAACTTAAAAAGAAGGGCCACAACAATCAAGTCAGCAATATGGAGATCGAAAATTTGCAACCAGATCGAATCGTCATCCTCGTGAATCATTCGTGCATTCATACAATGGGAAGCAAAACAGCTGGGAAAACCTGCATAACCGTAAGAACAAGACCTCGAAATGTCTCTATGAAATTATAATGGACAGAGTGTAGCCGAATATGAGGTTGCGCTACTCTTTAGAAAACTTCAATCGCCCTGGGAGTACTTAAAGTAACAGTTGACGGACAATTGTATTTGTCGAGTCGGGAGCGTACCACTGAGGGGAATCGTTCAGCTATAATGTCCTTTCGGTGCCTTGCTGCAATGCCACTTGGAAGAAGCATGAGTTCTGACAAACTTCTTAGTTGGCTCAGTGGTTATAGCGCGAATTTACTGACCGGAAGGTTCGTGGTTCGAACCCGACCTCTGCCTCCTGACTTCCCGTCTAGGATTGGGCAACCTGACAGTATCGAAACCTTCGTGATTCCTTCTGGTGGCATGACAGCTAGGCACCGAATGTGTGTCACAACTAAAGGATTTACTTGTTTATTAGTAATTTCTGCCCAAAGCTAAACAGGAGCCTCAGAGGTTGGGTTCGAACCGCAGCCTTAACCACTGAGCCGTCTCGAGCTCTAAGAAGCCCAAGTGGAGTGCCTCCAGATTCATATTATCAATGCCTTATAAGTGTTGCAGGCGGTAGGTGGTGATAGCGGAGTCATAACGAGATAATTAGGAAAGGCATATTTCACCCCGCACCAAGTACTCCCCTCACGGAAAACATCCAGCACCACTAACTGCCATGGCTCAGCGATGCGCTACGGATACAAAAATACCGCGTAGAAAAATGAGTGTTGTTTTACCCGCCTTCTTCGGAAGGGCGAAAACTATGATGGGTGTGACAACGTACGGCTTTACATACTGTTTGGGGTTACCCTGGAGCTAGAGGCGATATGTGTGGATCCCTGTCTGTGGATGAGGATATTGGAGAGATTCATCGGCTCCAGCTCAAGGGTAGCCCTAAACCCTTTGGACGCCTGATAGCCTCGAGATCCCCGGCAGCATGGAGCTTCTGGTCACCATGGTGACAGCTACAAGTCAACTGCTCTCATATATCGTCATGAAAAATTTTGGGATGAGCGCATTTAGCTGCGCATGTTGGCCCATCGGACAGCTATACGCGAACCGACAGGTTAAAAACTGGCAGTTCTACAATTTGGACATGAACTTCGACTCAGACACGGACACACCGGTGGTTGTTGCGGATTTCGTGGTCAGTAACGATTGTATCAGATCACTCCGCGCATGTCGACATTCACGGATACGTTCCCAGCTCTAAATTGCATGTGGAAATGCTGAACATACTTAGCAGCATTAGACGAGCGTCTATGACCGTGTAGTGTCTGTAATCCGTTGTCACATTTACCATTCTTCCTGAACTTGAACCACACTTTGTAACTGTCGTTCACATTGTATCATGACGTTTGTTTTAATGTTACGAATACACAATTTTCCGGCGCGACCTGCTGACTTCTTGCTGAACGACTGTATTTACGCCCGTTGAACTGTTTGTTGACTGTTGAACCAGTGGGACTAAATCTCTGTGTTTGTGTCAACTGTTAAACGTCACAATAAATCCCTGTGACATTTTTTTAGCCGTGAATAATTTTCCTACCGTGGAATATATCACTCACTCGGAGCCATCTGCAGGAAATCTCGACGAGTGAATATTTTCCTCTCACAGCCAGTTACTGCATTCGGATCGGTGTAGTGGACTACTGAACCTACGCATTCGTGAGTCCCCATTTGACTACTCATTCCTTTCCTATTGTGATTTTTGTGATTTTGCATTGGTTACTTTTGCTTGTTAATTTATCCGAACACGCTGGTTAGGTCCTAGTCCGCTACATAATTGGTGAGCCCGAATCATTCCTTAGTTTTTTCTTTTCTGCAGTACTCCCGTGCTTTATTGTATTTATTTTCCACGTCAGCATGGCTTCTGAACAGACACAGACACCCGAAATAGACAACGTGGTTTACATTAAGTTACCTGAATTCGGTGCACGTGATCCGAGGCTATGGTTCGCCCAACTTGAGGCCATTTTCGAATCCCGTCGCATTACCTCGCAGAGTAGCAGATACAATTATGTGGTAGGATGCTTACCAGACTTCGTTGCCCGAGAAGTCTCTGATTTAATATACACCCGACCGTCCACCGATCCGTACGATGCTCTCAAAGCAGCTATCATTTCTCGTACCGCTTCCAGCGATGAGCAGAATCTACGGAAGCTTCTCTCCGGTGTTGACGTCGGCGATAAAACACCGTCACAACATCTCCGCCACATGATGCACCTGCAAGGTAAGCATCCGGTCAACGATGCGGTTTTGAAAGAACTTTGGCAACAAAGCCTGCCCATCGAAGTCCGTAAAGTCATTTCCGTCATCGAGCAGGATTCTTCCTTAGCGAAGTTAGCTGAGGTGGCTGACCGCGTCCATGAAACCTGTAGACAGTTCGTGGTCTCTAACGTTCAGCAACAATCCACTTCGCAATCTAACCTGGAGGTCGAGTTCAGTGCAATGAAAGCTCAATTTACTGAGTTATCCCTCCAACTGAATGAAGTCACGAAACTCATTGGTCGCCCCCAACAACATAGACGTTCTAGGTCTCGATCCCACAGTCGTGCTCCCAAGCACAGTGACCAACCTGGCTGGTGCTACTACCACCGTCGCTTCGGTGACCGCGCTATCCGATGCACCAGACCTTGCACTTTCCCCACAAAGCCTTCGAATTCGGGAAACGCCATGGCCGGCCAGTAATGGCGACCACTGCAACCGGCTCCTCTACCTGTCGCCTGTTCTTCGTATATGACCGCTCCACGTCCTTGAGTTTCCTCATTGATACCGGTGCTGAGGTTAGTGTAATTCCTCCTACACGCAAGCATAACCTACGGCCGGTGGCATATACTCTGCAGGCAGCCAACGGTACGAGCATTAAGACCTATGGTGAAAAGCTTCTTACTCTCGATCTAGGTCTTCGTCGTCAGTTCCCTTGGGTTTTCACAGTGGCCGACGTTAAAAAACCCATTATTGGTATGGACTTTCTCACGTCATTTGGTCTCACGGTTGATCTCCACAGACGGCAGTTGCTTGACAATTCGACAACTCTCTCCATAAATGGCAAAGCTTCATCCATTAATTCTATTGGAATCCGCCCAGCTTTGCCGGATAACCGTTACACAGCACTGCTTCGCCAATTCCCAGAGATCCTGAAACCTGCTTCCAAGACCACTTCCGTAAAACATGACGTTTTCCACCATATCTCGACAAAAGGCCCACCCACCGCATCCCGTCCACGGAGGTTAGCTCCGGAGAAGCTTGCCATAGCCAAGACAGAATTTCAGCATTTGCTTCAACTGGGTATCATACGACCATCAAGCAGCCCCTGGTCATCTCCACTGCATATGGTCCCCAAAAAGTCCGAGGGAGATTGGAGACCATGTGGCGATTATCGTGCACTAAATCGTGTCACCATCCCGGACAAATACCCAATTCCGCATCTGCATGATTTTGCCCTTACTCTTCACGGCAAATCTGTCTTCAGTAAATTAGACCTCGTCAGAGCATATCACCAGATACCTGTCGCTCCAGACGATATTTCCAAAACGGCTATCACCACTCCATTCGGTCTATATGAATTCGTTCGTATGCCATTTGGGCTCAGAAATGCAGCTCAAACATTTCAACGATTCATGGATCAAGTTTTACGGGGATTAGACTTTGTCTACGCTTATATCGACGATGTACTTATCGCCAGTCGGTCAGAAGACGAGCATGTGCTTCACTTAAAGCAAGTTTTTGAAAGATTTCAGCAATATGGTATAGTCATCAATAGTAGTAAATGCCAATTTGGTGTTTCGTCACTAGAAATTCTAGGACATATTGTTGACTCAGACGGCATCCGTACTCTGCCATCTAAAGTTTCCGCCATTTGCGACTTTCCAGCTCCCAACAGCATTAAGAAGTTGAGACGTTTCCTTGGCCTTATCAATTACTACCGTCGCTTTATCCCTAACTGTGCCGAGGTTGTCCAACCGCTCACCGACCTACTCAGACTGAAAACGCGCAATTTCACCCTTACAGCGGAGGCCATTGCGTCATTTGAAACGGTTAAGGAAGTGTTAAATCAGACAACCAATTTGGCACATATAAATCCTGATCCGTCTACACCTCTTTTCCTGGTTACTGATGCCTCACAAACTGCAGTTGGCGCGGTTCTACAACAGGAGGTCAACGGTGAAATACAGCCTTTATCATTCTTCTCGCATCGCTTACAACCTGCACAGACTCGATATAGCACTTTTGGCCGTGAACTTCTCGCAATCTACTTAGCTGTTCGGCACTTCCGACATATTTTGGAAAGCCGACACTTCGTGATTCTCACAGATCATAAGCCGCTCACTTTTGCACTCAACGCGACATCTGATCGTTATTCACCGAGGGAAACTAGGCAGTTGGATTATATCAGCCAATTCACTAGTGACATCCGGCATATTAGTGGTCGCAGCAATTTAGTTGCAGATGCCTTATCCCGTGCCCATATAAACCACTTGGTACACGCTCCGTTCGATCTGCAATTAATAGCTGAGAGCCAAAAGCAGGACGAAGAATTACAAGAGCTTAGATCACATCCTTCCCTGAAGTTCGTTAATATGCCGCTCTTAAACTGTGATTCTAAAGTTCTGTGTGACATGTCCACTGGTAAACCTCGTCCATTTGTGCCTCAGAAATATCGTCGGTCAGTCTTCATGCATTTCCACTCCATTTCACACCCGAGTATCCGTTCCACCGCTCGATTAATTTGTGAACGTTTCTTGTGGCCTGGTATGCAGAAAGAGATCCGACAATGGGCAAAACAGTGCAAAACCTGTCAACTGAGTAAAGTCCATAAACACACGGTTACGCCACCCGGAAGTTTCAACTTGCCTACACGCCGTTTCCAACATATACATGTAGACATCGTTGGACCACTTCCACCATCCAACGAATGTTCCTATGTGTTAACAATAGTCGATCGCTTCACACGCTGGCCTCAAGCGACCCCCATGCGCGATTGTTCGTCCGAAACCGTTGCCAGATACCTTGTCGATTCTTGGGTATCCTATTTTGGTGTCCCTGAGAGCATCACTACAGATCGTGGGAGTCAGTTTACCTGTTCCTTGTTTCGTGAACTGAACCAGCTATTAGGATGCAACCATTTCAAAACTACAGCTTACAATCCTGCAGCCAACGGCTTAGTCGAACGTCTTCATCGACAACTGAAAGCCGCCATTATGGCTAAATCATCATCACAGCTGTGGACCGAATCGATACCAGTGATATTACTTGGCATTCGCAATACCGTGAAGGAGGATATTGGTTGCACTCCAGCCCAACTTGTCTATGGACAAACGCTACGTCTTCCCGGAGATATGGTATGTGTATCCACACCCAATGAAGACCTCTCACCATCGACATACGTCAGTCGACTGCAAGATCATATGCGTACTCTTCGCCCGTCTGACACTCGGAAATCCGGTCGACGCACACATTTGGATCCCGGTTTATCTTCTTGTACACATGTATTTGTCCGTGTTGACAGCGTCAAACGACCGTTGCAATATCCGTATGATGGTCCGTTTAAAGTCATTTCTCGCAAGGACAAGTACTTTGTGATTGAGAGGAACGGAAAACCGGACTCCGTCAGTATCGACAGACTCAAAGTTGCATTCATCGATGACGAGTCTCACTCAGATCCCCCTACTGTAGTCACTCTACCCACAAGTTCCCAAACCTCCAGTACAGCCATCCCAGGGAACCCCGAACATATAGCACGACGTATTGACGATCACCCGTTACCTATCCTGAAGCAAACACGTGTTGGTCGAACCTGCAAGACTCCTGTTCGCTTCGCAGACTACACCCCTTGAGTTTTGTCACATTATCGAGCGTCATTCCCTTTTATTATTCCTGACGCTCTAGGGGGGGAGTACTGTAGTGTCTGTAATCCGTTGTCACATTTACCATTCTTCCTGAACTTGAACCACACTTTGTAACTGTCGTTCACATTGTATCATGACGTTTGTTTTAATGTTACGAATACACAATTTTCCGGCGCGACCCGCTGACTTCTCGCTGGACGACTGTATTTACGCCCGTTGAACTGTTTGTTGACTGTTGAACCAGTGGGACTAAATCTCTGTGTTTGTGTCAACTGTTAAACGTCACAATAAATCCCTGTGACATTTTTTTAGCCGTGAATAATTTTCCTACCGTGGAATATATCACTCACTCGGAGCCATCTGCAGGAAATCTCGACGAGTGAATATTTTCCTCTCACAGCCAGTTACTGCATTCGGATCGGTGTAGTGGACTACTGAACCTACGCATTCGTGAGTCCCTATGTGACTACTCATTCCTTTCCTATTGTGATTTTTGTGATTTTGCATTGGTTACTTTTGCTTGTTAATTTATCCAAACACGCTGGTTAGGTCCTAGTCCGCTACAACCGCAAGTTACACGGTCAGGTACATGAAACGAACGAATATGTGTTCTTACACCGTCTAAAAGTACAGGCGAGTGCGCCCTACAAGCTCCATCATGTACAGCAGGGACTCCATGTTCCCATAAGAGAACAATACCCATTCCATTCGTGCCTCTTGTAAACCATATGATGATATGCAGTTAAGGCACTCTCCTCCAACTGTGTGATAGGGAAGTCGAATCAAGCACAAGCCCAGGTCAAGAAAATGACTGGCTGAATGAAGCATCCAAGCTGGCAATCTCGCCAAAGTAACCCCCAAAGGTGTGTGACGTGTATTAACACCCGAAATAAGATCGAAAACATATGTACAGCGTCTCAGACATAAAAAATCGCGACGACAGCGTCCAGGTGATTTTGATGCCTACCGGATGCGGCATGGACAACAAGCACTTGGCTGATATCGGATCCTGAGTGGCTGTTGGATCCACACTTCCGGCCAATTAGAGCTCGCCCTGAGTCTGGACCGGCAAGCGGTCTGTTCTTTTAGCCAATCGCACACGGAATACCTTTTCTAGGCCTTAGCAGGCTCTGGCTGCGAGT